CAGCGTGCCAGGACTTACTGCGACTCAGAGCAACAGGGTATTTGATTGTCGACCACCTGAGCAGGCAGTCTCCAGTGAGGTCTGCAGAGGAGCCCAGGTCCAAGGGCACTGGCAGTGTGGCCATCTGCAGGTGAGGGTTCACTGCCCTGTCACCATGCTCTCCCCCTCAGGACCATGAGATCTGGACCTGGGGCAGTCATACTTTGCTTCCTCCATGTTCCCACAGGGACCTCTTGTGCCATGGTTCCCTGATAAGCAACTTCCCAAAGACCACTATCTGCATCTCTACCATGGGCCCAAGCTCAGAAAATAGACTCCACAGAGTCTGTCATGCTCTTCATGGTCAGCTTATATGGCTGTGAAGTGATTATACCAAGTGTCCAAGTGACACCAGGTATTCGGAATGGTGTCGCTGTGAGAGGTCTCTGAGCAGAAACCCACAGTGAGGTAGTGATGGAAATACTGCCAAAATACTGACATCTCACCTCGGAGGCCCCTGTGGGCTGGGACAGAGGTTGTACACAGCTGGATCTAGGCTCCAGGTTATGAGAAAGATCTTCAGTATGCTGGCCCCCCAAGCAGGGCAACTCTACAAGAGATGCTGGCTCAGGTCCTGCAAGAGCCTAAGAGAAGACAGTGTCCTTTGTGAGCCTGAGTGATGCCACGGCTATATGAGGCTGGCGGGAAAGAGTTACTTACAGGGGCCAATCCAGGTCAGAACAGATGGCTATAGTTCAGAGGACAAAGAACCTGCAAACAATTTCTGTTCCCAGTTCCATCCAGCTTTTAGCTCCGTGACAGCATGCATAGAGGATCAGTGGCTTTAGGCCAAAATGAAGACTATAAGTTTTTCTAAAGGACTTCAAAATGTAGAACTCAGAGGAATCCCAGAAAACTCTTTGCCCAGCCCACACCTTATTGGAGGAGACAGAAACCTGCCTGCATGAGTGATCCCCATACAGGTGAGCCTGCATAGGTGAGCCCTGCACCAGTGCAACCCCACACAGGTATAGGCCCACTCAAGACAGCCTCACAAAGGTGAACCCCATGAGGTGCAGCCCAATGTGACTGATCTCTACACAGGTACAGGGACAACAGGCACAAACACTCACAGGGCAGCCCAGAACAGGTGTGCTTTGCACAGACCCAGGAACACACAGGTGAGGCACACAGCAAACCCTGCACAGGTGCAGCCCCACACAGGTGATCTCCACACAGCTTCAGGTCCACCAAGATAAGCACACCTCAGAACCGATGGCTGTGTTGTCATCATGAAGCCTCTGCTATTCCTAAACCTGTCAGTGGCTACCTGCGTTTTCATTTCAATAATTCAGAAATAGTATCAGTATCTTGTAATCTATTGATTTTCATCCAAACTAGTTATGTTTGGAAGCAGGAATGTGTTGGATTCTCTAATTCTAATTGCTCTTTACATATTCACTAATCAGCATTCTCAAAGTCTCATAGTTTCCTCATCAATTGAAAAAAAAACAAAAATTCTTCCTAAAAAACCAAAAATCAAGCATATTTTACCTTGTTCAGTACTTAATAACTATGTATCCTGTGAGACAATTATTTCATCATAAGTATAGTGCATATTTAAGGGCTTACAGATGAAGATTTAACTGTTACATGCAGTGTGATCAAAAGTGTGCTAAATGAGAATGACAGGATAAATGTGTTCAAAGTGTGAGGTTCAAAGTATTTTTAAAGAGAACCAATGGCAATGTGCTTTGCAATAAATTTTAATGTAAACATTCATGGAATATTTTGATCACACTTCATAGACTGGAACACTATGCAGCCATTAAACTGATAACACTCTACCCAAATCACATGAAAATGTAAGAGATACATTGTTAAATGAAAAAGAAGGAAGGAAGGTGTCAGTGTGAATGACCTCCTGCTTCTGTAAAAAGAACTTGTGTTGGGGACAGGTCTATTTCATGGGGACCAGGTGCCCTGAGCAGAACTCGTAAGTGGACCTTACAGGACCCTCTGCAGGCTTGGTGATGGAGCTTGTGAGTTGCCGTCCCCTGTGAAGGGGAAACCCCACCTGAGGAGACCTGCAGGAAGGATGCACTGGGAGAAAGCAATGGTTACAAACAGCAGCTGGACACTGGGTGCTGCTGGGCAGGGAGCGCTACTTGGAGCCTCCTCACAGTGTCACCCCATGAAGCCAGCTGGCCTGGAGGGCCATGCAGCAGCAAGTCTGGAAAATGTAGAATGGGTGCAGTGCTCCAGTGAAGGGACCTTGGAAAAAGCTGATAGCATGGGCCAAGGAGGCAGCACCAAGCCAAGGAGTTCACAGGCCAAGTCCAGCTCCCCTCAGCTCTGCTATAGCTCTGGTGTAGCATCTGGAGCATGGGGCCTCACAGTTGACTTTCTTCAGAGCTCTGTCCTCAGGAGCTCAGGGTGCTGGACAGTAAGCCTGGCCCACTCCTGGCTCTTCTTCCTAGAGTATGACTCAGGTAAACCTGAGAGAACCACAGCCTTGGAGAGGAGCTCTGTGTAGCTCCATATCCTGCCAGATGGCCATTCTCTTCTGGCCACAGCAAATGCAATACTAGAAGTGGCCAGGGTACAGAGAGTACTTTTCTGCGGTTTCTCCTAGGAAGGAAAAGAATCACCCTCTATAATAAATGATCTTGGACCTGACTGTGAGGTCCCCACTGTAGTTGGCTCACCTCAGCTGGTCCAGACAGAGGCCTGAGCCACTTTTCTTCCCACACTCAAATAGGGCCCCTCTCTAATTCCTCTCTCCTTGTCTCTCATCTTCTTGCTAACATTTTAACATCCTTCTGTGCCTTCAATACCCAGCACACAGAGGAGACACAACCAGGGGATGGTGAAGTGATGTTCAGGCCATGTTCTCCCTCCATCTGGGCAATGAAATGATTCCCATCTTGTTCACCATGGCTTTTCTCACACACACCATATGATACCCAGTGGTGTACCCATTCCAGTAGTAGGCCTCTGGGAAGATGTCTTACTCAAATGGTGTCCTTGGGAGGAGCCTGGCTGCTCATGTGCAGACGGCACAGTCCCAGAGGACATGGTGGTTGGAGGTATTTAAATCCCCATGGAACAGTGTCATCATTTAGATCTAAAATGTCCCCTAGGGGCTGAAGATTTAGCTCAGCAGCGTAAGTGCCTCCCTTGTAAGCACACAGTCGTGAATTCAATCCTCAGTACCAAAAAATAAAACAAACAACAAAGAGCATAGTAAAATGTCCCCTAGAAGTCTCTTGCAGTTGCAAAGTGATTGGATCATGGAGTATCATAGTCACCAGTGGATCTGTCCACTCATGAGCTCAGTAGCTGAGTGTGCTGGTCAGAGGTAGGACCTGATTGGAGATGGGTCAGTGGGTCAGGATCTGAAGGAGGGTTCTTGTCCCTGTGCCTCCCTTTGCTCTCTGCTTCCTAACCTGGAGCCCTCAGCCAGGCCCCTTCCATCATGCTGCTTCTGCCTTGGAGCCCACCATAGACGGAACTCACGCAGGAAAGTAAGCCCCTCCTCCCTCAAATTGTGGGTGTTGTGCCTGCACCCCAGCAACAGGAAAGGAGCAAGTATGAATGGTAAGGTTTTCAGCCTGGTCGGGTAGGAAGAAAGTTGTTCTGGCCCTGCTGCTGGTGGGAGATGCTGTGATTCCATCCAGCTCAGCTCCCTGACACTACTGGGCCTTCCTGCACAGCCTTGGGGTCTCAGGAGCTCTGTGGAGGAGCCTCTTGGGTGGCGGGTGGAGGGTGCCTGTGGCACTATCCATGGCAGCTGGGTCACTTCTCCAGCACATCCAGCTGGCAGGCACTCGAGCCTTCACACTGCTGCGTGGCTCTCACCATGGCTTCTCTCACAGCAAAGGGCCAGCCCTTCCAGGAGACCCCACGAGAGCTGGGTTTTCCACCCTGCATTTAGGGTCGGCTCAAGCTGGAAGAAGGCCTTCAGCTCTGAACGCTAAGCCAACATAATGCACATACTCATGTTTTTAATTAGAACAATGAGGAACTGAGTTTTATGACTTCCACTTTACCTAGGATTGGCTCGCTGGGCTCCTGACTGTCTCTACCCCATTAATTAAGTCTCCAACACTATTACCCAAAAGATGCCCCTTCTGCCACAGCATGGTGCAAATCAATAAGAAGTAAGCAGTGATTCTTTTGAAATGGAAACATAATTTTGAATTTTTAAATTCAGATTTTTTTATTAAAAATGTGATGGGGTAGGGATGTAGCTCAGAAGTGCAGCACCTGCCTGGCAAGCCTAAAGCACTGAGTTTGATACCTGGTATCAAAAATACAAAAAAAAAAAAATGGTCTGGATACACAGTGGAACACTATTCAGTCATTAAAGAGCTGGTGATCACATCATTTGCAGCAACATAGATGGTTCTGAAGCAAAACATCACTGAAACAGGCTTAGAAAGACAGGTGCGTCAGGGTCACTTCCTGGGGAACTGGAATCTATGAGTTGATCACAAAAGCAAAGAGGAGGGAGGTGGCGGCCAGCAGCTGGGGAGGAGAGGATGTGAACTTTTGGTTGGAAGGGAGGAGTATGTCCCAGGGAGCTATCACACAGCCAGGCATCTGTACTTAATAATGTGTATTTCAAAATACTACAGGAGTAAAACTTAACTAATCTCATCCCAAAGAAGTGGTAAATACTTGAGGTGGTGGATATGCTCATTAGTGTGTACAGTGACACCACTTTTACCCCAAAAATACATAAAGTTATTTTTGTCACTTAATTGAAATAAAGCTTTTAAAAGTGCACAGCACTTGAATTATTCAAATATTTTCTAGCACAGACCTTGTTGTTTCACCAAAATTAATTAAATGAGTGCCCAGGCTGCTGTTGGAGACACTGCTGTTTGCGCTTCTCAGAAGTAGCCTGCAGGATAGTTGTCTGATTGTGGATTTCCTCCCTGCTAATGTCTGACCACAGCCACTGCCTCTGTGAGCCGCGTGGGCTATATGCCCTCACACTCTGCTTCTCCTTCCAGCCTGCCCTGGCATCTGGGACAACCTCACATGCTGGCACGCTGCGGACCTGGGGGAGACAGTCACCGTGCCCTGCCCTACGGTGTTCAGCAACTTCTACACCAAGCCAGGTATGTCATGTGTGCTGACTCCTGCCCCCGGAGTTTGCATCTGAGGGTCGGTTTTTCCCTCTCTTCCTGTGGCCACTTCTGGCCCCTTCTGCTACGAAGTGCAGCCAGAGAACAGCATGGCTGTGCTGGGATGAGCACTGACTTTGGAGAGCAGGAGGACACCATCCACTTGATGCAGCCTGAGATACAACCTGAGATGCACTTAGAGAGTCACCATCAAAACTGCTTTCGGGGTAGTGGGAAAAGTGGCAAAGATTCCAGTGGCCTCTGCAGAGAAGAACTGCCATAAACCTGAGAGAATGTTCCCTGGATCTTCTTTTTTTTTTTGGGGGGGGGGGGATGATTGAATTCAGTACCATATGCTTGCCAGGCAGGCACTGTGCCAAGCTACCTCCCAGCCCTGTGCCCTGGGTTGTGAGGGAAGAGGGAAGAATCAGCTCCTGAAGCTCTGACACTGGCAGGAGAATCTCTAGGCTGAGCTTTCCTCTTTTGGGTGGTGGCCAGGTTGCGGCACTGACCCTACTGTCCTCTGCCCCACTTCCCCAGATCTTTGGATGTTACCTCAAGTTTGCATCTTCTGAGTCTGCAGTCTCAGACATCGCCCAGACCCCTCTTCTGTGCCTGGCTTGCTCTGCACAAGGCACACACGCCACTTGTTTCTGAGATGAGGGTTTAGTTTTTGTGAGTAGTCCAGATTTTCCTATCATGGAGACATCTATCTGTAAAACTGGAGAATAGAAGATGCATCTAGAAACAGGAAACAGGAAAGCCTGATGCTTGCAGAACTGTGGAGAACTTTATTTTTTTCTGCGTGAGTGCTAGAGGGTGGAAACTTTGAAGCTTGATAATGCTGAACTTTAAAGTTCTAGGAACAGACTGGGATGGGGGAAGGACCCTTGCTCCTTACTTGCAGCAGCTCAAAGATGATGTCACACCTGTGTATGAGTCATCTACAGTGTTGAGTGACCTATCACTTGAGAGAATCTGAACTTTAAAACTCCCACTCAGTCAATGACTGGGTCGTAAATATTCTGAAAAGTTCCAATGCTATTAGCACAGGGCCAGGAAGCAGCCTGGCCCTGTGAACAGCTGTCAAATGTGGCTTGAGAATGAGACACCTCTGGAGGACCATCAAAAAAGTGGTCCCCAGAGAAACTCTGCAGCCTATGGAATCAGGCCTTGGTCTTGCCCCACTCACCACCTTGCCTGACAGGAGTTGGTGGTGAGTTGCCGCTGCAGTAGAATGAGCTTGCTCTCAGTTTTGTCTGATTACTCAAAGCCATGGGCAGGGAAGCAACCACACTGTAAAGAAGTATCAGGACTATGGAGTCAGAAAATCTGTCTCCTACTCAGTAGTCATCTAACCTTCAGGACCTTATTCTTCCATCAGTAAAGTGGGATCAGCAGCACCCACCAACTCTAGCTCCTGAGGTTGCCCCAAAAATAAAGAGGTGATATAAGTGAAGATAATTTGCTAAATCTGATGCTCTGGGTCCTGTGGGCACTGCCCAGAGGAAGCAGAAACTCTGGGGAGGGCACAGAGACTCTGCTTGGGCAGGTTCTTAGGCCTGGTAGGCTCAGGAGGGCTCAAGCCTTTCTTTCTTTGTCTGATTGTGTGGCTACTGGTGAGGACACATTCTTTGGAGACAAAGAGGACACTGCATTTCTGAGCTTAATGTGGAACTTTAGATTTAGGTACAAACAGGCAGATTATGAAATCACAGCTGCCTTTATTTCTTGCAGATAAACCTTAACCCCACAATTCCAGTTGGCAGGAGCTGTTGCTTCTTGGGCAGAGAAGGATCAGAGTTGGGCTGAAGAGAGAAAAACAAGTACCAGGAGCTGTGGCATAATAGGAGAGCATGGGACAGTGCTCAGAGCAGGTCCAGTGAGCAGAGGAGGACTAGTAGCCATAGTGGGTGGCAGGGTCCAACTTGGCCACAGTGATTCATGGTGAAAAAATTCAAAATTACTCTGCTTCAAAATAAAAGCATTCAAAGTTACAGAAGTTAGAATTACAACTTCTTTTTATTGACTTACGACGGGGTATGTCCGCAGGTCTCTACTAAGCCCTTGAAGCAGAAGTGGACAGATGGTATGAGTGGGAAAGCCAAGAAAGAGCTTCTGAGTAGGCAGAGCAGATACTCGCTGCTACAGGATGGTCAGGCCTCGGCCCTGCTGTGTCATTGGTCCTGAGTTGAGTTCCACAGACTCGCAGATAAAATATTTAAACTTTGCTTTCCAGGAAACATAAGCAAAAACTGTACAAGTGATGGATGGTCAGAGACATTCCCAGATTTCATAGATGCATGTGGCTACAGTGACCCCGAGGATGAAAGTAAGGTAGGTTCCGTCCTTGACACCACAGGCCCAGCAGTGTTCCTGTCCCTGTGAGAACATGAAGCTTTCCTTTTCTGAGCAGCATGTGACTGGTGCTGTCAGGGTCTCTGTCTCTGCCCTGTGGCCCAGCATGTGGGAGCTGCTGACCACTACACAATTCAGAGGCCTTGAGAGCCAGTCTTCTTCTGCACCCTTCTGGGTAAGGAGGCCCTGGCAGTAGGCTCCATGTCTGGTTCTGAGCAGACCACCTTCCTGCCATGTGGGTTTCCTCATTCCAGTTAAGACTCCGCCACAGTCTGGGCGATGAGAAGCCCTGAGCCCATGGTAGACTTGACCCAGGGTGAGCACCTTTCATTCAGCCTGGGTCCGTCCTTGGAGAGAGGCATCTGGGCAGGTCCGGCTGACAACTAATCAGAGACTCTCAGTAGAGCTATAGCACTGCCAGCCTGGCTTCCCACAGCGGCTTTCCTGAGGGAACACGCTCTTAACAATCAAGGACGTTCCTGTGTGGAACAGGTCCACCCTCGGCCTGTGCCTCTGCCCAGCTTTGTGAGCACTGCTTCTCCCGGCCTACACCACTGTCAGACTGGTCCTCTTACTGCCAGACAGACCACAATCCCGTCTTAGTCGTCTCACACAGTGCAGTCAGAGTGTGTGGACACACTTCTGCACAAGTGCAGGGCAGTCAAGTGGTTCCAGACACTGGGAAGTACCAGCCTCTCTCACACTGCTCCTCAGCTGCAGAGCATGGGAGGATGCTCAGCCCACCCCTTGGCCTGCAGCAGGTCACACCGCCCTGGCATGGCGCCCTTCCCCACTGGAGCTTTTGGGAATCACTCTGCCTCCTCAACCTCTTCCTTCAAGCTTGCCTTCACTGAAATTTACAATTCAAAGCCAATTATTTTCCTAACAATTACGAAGCCCTAGGAAAGAAAACACTCCATTTTAGTCAATGTGCTGCTAGATAGCAGGCAGTGCTTCCTGCTGTAGGCCACAGTTGTGAGGACGATAAGATTGCCAGCAACAGTACTGAGTGCACAGGGGGAGCCAGATGTTGTTAGCACCATTATCCCAGTCAGGCCAGAGAGCGCCCTCCATCCAGAGAAACAGGCTTAGAGAAGCCTTGTCACTCGTGGCTGCCCGTACTTGTTGTGAGTTTTCTGCTGAAAAGGGCACAGGCCCACAGGGACAGTAGTGTCCTCCACACAGCAGGACACAGTAGGTCTAGCATAGCTGAGAGATCAGCTGAATGTCGGAGCTGGGATCCTCACAGCACCGCATGTGCTCAGGGAATGGATGGGGCTCACTTCACCCTGCAGGCGACTCTTTCCAGAGCCCCAGGATGAGGAAGAGTCTCATGGCCTTCCTGTCCCCACATTGCAAATGGCTGGTGACCTGGCTTTGCTGTATGTGATGCTACTCAGTGAAGATGACTCCCTTGGGAAGGCGCCTTGCTTTTCTCCTCAGGGACCTGAAGGAAGGAATAGCCTCAGTAGGTGTTGTGAGCCTCTTGTGTTGACCTTTCTGTGTCAAGTGTTCAATGTTTCTAAAGGTTGTCACCCACTGGTTATGCAAAGAGCGTGAGTGACCCTGTGCCATGGAGCACAGAAAGCACATACAGCCATTGTGTGATCTCCACTTGGTGATTATAGGAGCACCTGGAATTAGTGTAGTCACACTCTACCACTGAACCAGGGAAATGTGGGCAGATGGAGGAGAACCCAGCTCAGGACCCAGGTTAGCCCTGTTCACATTGATTTTGAATTCAGATCATATTTCCATGGGAGATGTGAGTGGATTCCAGGCTTCCAGGCTGGCCCACTGCTCTGTAGTATTATTTTCACACCAGGAGACCATCCTATGGCATCTCTGAGAAGGCTTTGACTTGGTTCAGTGGCTAATTCTTTAGAAAAAAAGATCAGTAGGCCCTGTTCTGAGGCTCCTGGATTTTGACCCAAGGGAGATGGTAACCAGAGACCTGGGTCGCTGGGTTGCTGACCCTCCTGTGCTGACCCACCTGGACTCAACAGATTATCTTAGGAGGTATGGATTCCCACACAGTGACAGGAGTCCTAGGGCTTCTGGGCTTCAGGAAGAAGACTGCATGTCCAGGAGGGACCACCTGCCATTTTAGGCGCCCCATCTGAGCTTCACCTCACGTTTGACCCTGGTCTGCTGTTGTTCTTGAGAAATGGCAAGACTCCGGTACCAAGAAGTCCTATGGCCATGCCTGTGACCTGTGATAAGCAACTAGAGTACTCAGGGCTATGTGCAGCCTTGAGAGGTGTGGGTCTTATTCACATATGCACATTCTCTGGTGGGCAGCAAGAGTATGTGCTGCTTCTGAACCAGGCAGGCCTGGCAGGCTTGTGCACATGCTCGTGCTTATTCCTGCACAGAAGCTTCTGAACACCCTGAGTAGTCCACAGGGCTGAGGCAGGAGCAAGGCACAGAGGCTTCTGAGCACCCTGCATAGTACACAGGGCTGAGGCAGGAGTCCTCTGGCCCAGGAGCAAGGTCCCTTGTGGACCTCCCTGCAGCCTGCGAGGGTAAGTCTCTGGCACTGATTCTCTTGAAGAACTGTTTCTCGTCTTAATTAAACATTTCAGAGGCCCTGTAAATACCATAAATACATATTCCATAATAATGGATTAGAAAGTCAAAATATTTTAAGCTGAAAGAGCAATAAAAAATGTGGCACAAAACCCAAACAGTAATTTTTCTTTCCAAAGGCACTTTCTGCTGCAAACTTTGGACCCTTGAATGTTTCAGGAGCTGGAACTAGACCCAGTGATGCCACTTACCTTAGGGTGAGCACACACTGTCCAAGATTCCCTCCATTCCATCTGTCAGCCCCTCAGCTTGCTCCCAGGATTTAATTGAATTTCCTGCTCACCAACAGCCATACTCTCCCTTACATGCCATTCTTACTGGCTTCAAAATTAATTCATTTGAGGGGAAAAAGTGGTCTCCACTAAAGCTATTGGCTTAGCTGCATACAAAGGAGTCAAAAGGCAAAGATAGTGAATGTCCAGAGTCCCCACAACCCTGAGAGAGGGCACAGGGAGCTAAAGTCATCAAGGTCTAGGCCCTGACCTGTGGATCCCACAGCCTATATCAGATTCTGACCCACCCAGTTAGTTGGGCTCTGTAATCAGCTTCCATGCCCAGCTGTCCTGTTCTGCATGTTCCCAACCTGGAGCTGCCCAGTGTCGCATGTAGAGAAAGTCCTCAGTGCCATTGCACTGCCCTGCTAGGTGGTGCCCACATTTGGAGCTGGAAATAGGCATAGAAAACAGATCAAGAACCACCACAGGTGACCGCAGGCATGATGGGAGAAGATAGAAGCCATGACTGGTGCAAGGTAGAAATTTCTCCTTCTGCCAGGCAGGGCTCAGGCTCCATACACAAACCATCTAGCCACTGGGACAGTTCTGCGTTTCAGCCAGTGGGAGGGAAGACTCATGTCCCACCACAAGATACTGACAGTTGGGAAGCCTGAATCTTGGCCATCAAGGCTGAGTGTCTAATAACCAAGGAAGTCTGGAAAAACTGCAGGTCAAACCTAGACACTAGAAAGCCCCTGCCCATGGCTCGGGGTCCTACTCAAGTTCTCCAGAGATCCTCCTTGCACCCATGTTCTGCACTGAGGTATTGGAAAGAACATATAAACATTCTCCTACCTTCAAGGAGCACAGTTCTGCTTTGGGGAATTAAAGAGTCACCTTGGACACAGTTAAGAGAGCAGATAATTGGGAGCCTTGAGTTGTGGTTGGTGGGGACACAGCAGTTGAACCTCTTATCTCCAGCACTGTGTAACCACAATCCACCCCCGTGGTCAGGTAGCCCCAGACTCAGCCCTGCCAGAACATAGCATAGCAGTGGTGGAGGCCCAGCAGGTTCCCCTGGGCACATCTTCTGTATTATGAAGCCTTTGCCTACGCAGTTCTCTAGTAAAAGCACTTCTACTAAATTTAGCCATGAGCTGTTTGGTATTTCAGCCTTCTCTGTGTCAAGTGGACACATTTCTTCCATATTATGCCATATTCCTAAAAATATGTACACCATTTCCTCTCGATGTCCTGGCCACCATAGCCACTCTTACCCTCTGGCTGCTGTTTTGCATCTCCAAGGCATTTCACCTTGATGGCTCAGCCTCAGAACCAGCCTGACCCCCAACTGCCCCAGGGGTAGGGGGAACACATTTGTCCTGGAGTTGTAAGGAAGCATCCACAGTAACACTCTTTAATATTTGCCACGCAAACTGTGATCAAGATGAGGACCATGTTTGAGCTTGTAACTGAGGCCATGCACCTGGAACTCTGCAAGTACAAGAAGAGGTTTTTCAAGTCCAAAGGAAAAGCAGAATGGGAGGAGGCTAAGGAAGTCTTGCAGATGTCCCATGGCCAGGCACAGGTGATGGGTCTCCAGAGTCCCTAAGTCCTGAAAAAATTAGGAAAGACTGTCCTAAAAATCAGGGGGAGGAAGTGCTAGAGTTAGGAACTGTGTAATCTAGGAAGTAAAAGATTGCTTGGATGAGATGATGTGCAGGAAGCCTTGGTAAGGCTGAGGAGCCACTGTAAAGGGCTTTGTGCTTGGAGGTGTGTGGCCATCAGTAGGTAGCTCCATGGCCATGCCAGGCCTTTCACATGTGGCTTCAAGGTTACAAAAGGTATTTGTACCGAGCACCCTGGCTGCCCTGCTGTGAACCATGAGGAGTGGTCATCTCAGCCAATGTGACCAGGACACCGTGAAAGCCACCATATTGCTCACTGGATCATCACTTTTCACATGACTGATGCAGGGCAGGAGTTCAAAGCGCTGGGGACAAAGAAAGTTCAGACCTACACTGTTGCCTGTCTGGGCGCCAGGTGATCTTTGAAAGGCCTAGGGACCAGGACAAGGGGTTCTGACTGCCTGGGCCCGTTATGTCCTGTGATTTGGGGAACAGATAATTGGGGCAGGGGAAATTGGCAGCCAGTGACAAGCCATCAGTGGGGACG